TCAAGTGATGCTCCCACCTCGGTCTCTGAAAGTGCTAGGATTACAGGCATGAGCCACCATGCCTGGCCAAAGAGGATGTCTTCTCTATCATCACATGTAAGAGTAGACAGAGCTTTTCCCAAACATGGCTTTTAAGGTAAATGGGCCCCCAAATGTCAGCCATCTAAAAAGGAAAGACTTGGCTTGAGGTTCTGTGCATTTGGATATGTTAACTTGCTTCCTTAATGTTGACTTGCTTTCTTTTCACTCAGAGCAGTGAGTTATTTAAAGAGAAAAGAGTTAAAAGGTTCCCAGCGGAAAAATCAGGAGTGTGTGATGTCATGGGAGTCAGACAGGAGTCAAGGACATAGTGTACAGTCCAGTTCCCAGAGTCCACGGCACCTATGTGGGTCACTAGACCTAGCCAACTCAGGCTCTGTGCCCATTTTTGCATCTGGAACCCTGGGGGACCTTCACTGGAGTAAAGAGGGTTAACAATTAAAATCTGAAGCTCTCTTTTCTCTCCTGGTTGAGAGAATAAATAGCATGAAGCAAATATTTTTCAAGAGCAAACTTTGGATTATCTTGGTGATAATCTGAATTATCAGCATTTAAAATGACTTTCAGAAAATATCCATCAAGCTTTTACTGTTTTGTCTCATTAAACAATGATAATATTTTCGATTATGCCAGGACCATAAACCATCTGTGGGGTACAAGTTTCTCATGTTTAATGTCAGGTCAATATTTCACAATGCTGAGATCTGGACTCTGTAAAGAAAAGGACTGACTTTATTTTAGGAAATCAGTGCCCAAAAGCTTGATGTTTACACAGAGTGGTGCTTCATGTTTTCCCACATTTTTGTCAGAGGCTGCTTGGATGCCTTCAGTTATTCGTGCTCTGCCCCAATCAATGTTCACACTTTAAAAGAACAGCACCACCTGGGGGTGGACCCGGGTTGCGTGGGGTCTGAAGCTCATAGTAATTTAGGGCCTTTTAAAATAGAGCACAAAATTAAGTACAGAAAAGTTGGCATTTATTTAGAATGAGCAAAGAAGGGGAGTTAGATGGGTGAAAGTGAGAGGTCTTGAAGCTTAAGTTTGGTTAGCTTCATAATAAGGTCACTCCTGAAGCCACTGAAAACCTGTTCTAGAAATGAGGTGCCTTGCTTTGCCCCAAGTCTTCTCTAGCCCATTCTCTGATGAATGGCTGCCACTTCCTGCTTGCCAGTTGCAAACCCTCCCCAGGGCGAATTGCTGTTTTACCCTCTTGTATTGCCATGTTTCTCTTCTTTATCTCAGCTGTGATTTAAATATTTTTGTGTTGCTATTTGTCTAGCTGGAGATTCTAAAATAATCCGGGAGACCTAGGGCTGTGTCTGTTGTATTTTGCTTGTGGTTGTAGTTCCAGGGCTTGCCTAAGTGCCTGGTATATAGTAGGAGCTCAAATATTTACTGAATGGATGAATTTGGTAAAAGAGAAAGGCACTAGTAAGAACAAATTTGTTTTTTATGCCCCAGAGAAAAATTCCACTGGGTAGAGATTACTGGAGGTTATTTGGGTCACCTGTGCCCATGATAAGAGTTATTCGCCCCAGAACCTGCTCTTAGGTATAAAAAATTGATTCGAGCTTCACTGTTCAAAATCTCAGCTTAAAGTGAATTGACGTGAGCAGTATTAACCCTTGCATTTAGCTGTTGAGACTCTTGACTTGAAACCTCCATATTCACATGCAGATAGAAGAAACGCTTCAAGTCAAACAAGGATATGCTTTGGCTGTGTCCTCTCCCGAGTCTCATCTTGAATTGGAATTCTCATAATCCCCAGGTGTCATGGGAGGGAGCAGGTGGAGATAATTGAATGATGGGTGTGGTTTCCTCCGTCCTGTTCTCGTGATAGTGAGTTCTGATGGTTTTATAAATGGGAGTTCTCCTGCACAAACTCTCCTGCCTGCTGTCATGTAAGATGTGACTTTGCTCCTCATTCGCCTTCTGCCATGATTGTGAGGCCTCCCCAGCCCTGTGAAACTGTGAGTCCATTAAACAGCTTTACTTTACAAATTACCCAGTCTTAGGTATGTCTCTATTAGCAGCGTGAGAACAAACTCTAATACACGAGTGAATTGTAGGACAGTTGTCATTTGGGATCTGTGGCTCTGTTCCCCTCCACAGGTGAAAACTGGTTGTTTAACTCTAGTACTTTACTGATGGTTCTGCTCTAAAGTGATATATACATTCCTGTGAAACCTTCCATACAACAACAGATGCGCCAAGAGAAAAGTAGGGAGAGCCACTGTTCCTTTGCAGAGCTTGTGAGCAGGTGCTAGAGCAGGCCTCGCTGGGAGGGGCTGGCTGGGGGGTTGAGGCGGGTAGCTGAGGCTCAGGCTCTCTGCTTTTCAAGGTCACCTGGTCCTCCCACCTGTCCCAGTACAGGCCAGGCCAGCCTCTGCCTCCATGCTTGGCTCATGTTGTCCCATTCCCACCCTCCCTTGAAATCCTACCAGGTCGTCTAGGTCAAGTTCAAGCTCTAGCTCTTCCTTCTCCTGTTGTGCCCACCCACATTATTTTGAAATGTCTTGAAGCTCTTGCAGCCCTGTAGGCAGAGGTATCTCTGCTCATGAGGACCTGCATTATTAGGTGACCATCCCTTTTCCCACATGTCCCCAACTATTCTATAGACCTGAAGCCAGGGAACATGCTGTACTTCTGTAATATTTGGTTATTCAGGCTCAATACGTCATTCTTTCATGCTACAATTGGTTCACTAAGTACCAGGTGCTGTGTCAGAGGCCTACAGATGTGTACCACCACACCGAGCTAATTTTTCATTTTTTGTAGAGATAGGGTTTTGTCATGTTGCCCGGCTGGTCTAGAACTCCTAGGCTCAAGCTATCCTCCCACCTCAGCCTACTAAATTGCTGAGATTACAGGTGTGAGCCATCACACCTGGCTAGAAAAATCTTTTCAAGGTTCGTCCATGTCGTAGCATGTGTCAGCACATCGCTCCTTTCCAAGGCCAAATATTCATCATATGGACAGACCATTGGGGTGGCTTCCATTTTCTGGCTATGATGAATAATGCTGCTATGAATATTTGTGAACAAGTTTTTGCGTGGACATAAGTTTTCATTTCTCTTGGGTATATACCTATGCATGAAATTGCTGGGTCTTATGGTAACTTGATGTTTAACCTTTTGAGGAAATGCCATACTATACAGTTGATTCTTCACACATCAGATCTTTAAAAAAATGTAAGTCAGCCCACAGCCTTTTCTGCTTAAAAATCCCTCCAGAGGTTTCCCATCACCCTCACACAAATCCCAGATCTTTCCTGTTAGCTACAAAGTTGAGCATGATGAGCTAGTTCTCTTTACCTCCTTCTACTCACTTACGCTCCTCTGGCCACACTGTCCACCCCCTACCTCCGCCACTGCCCTCTTTTTTTTTGAAACAGGATCTCCTTCTGCCACCCAGGCTGGAGTGCAGTGGCATGATCTCGGCTCACTGCAACCTCCGACTTTCAGGTTCAAGCAATTCTCATGTTCAGCCTCCCAAGTAGCTGGGACTACAGGTGCATGCCTTCACGCCAGACTCGTTTTTGTGTTTTTAGTAGAGACGGGGTTTTACCATGTTGGCCAGGCTGGTCTCAAACTCCTGGCCTCAAGTGATCCACTCACCTCAGCCTCCCAAAGTGCTGGGATCATAGGCATGAGCCACCGCACCCGATCTAACCACTTATTTGCACCAGTCTTCATCTCTCTAATCTTTGGCTTCAGCATTAAAAATGCCTGGGAACCAGGCAGGCCACGGTGATGTGCTCAGGAGCAGGTGAGGCATGGGAGAGGCTGAGCAGGCAATGACTACCTTCTGTCTAGCAAGGTGTGTTGGGAGAGTAGGGCAGGAGAGGAGAGAGCACCAGGGGCATTCATACAATAATTGGATTTCCAGCACACACCTTAGGAAGAAATTCTGTCACCAAAGAATAAAATGCAATGTATGAGAACCTGGATTTTCAGGCTTAACTATTTTTGCTTGGGATCAATTTTCTGTGAAATTAAAGCCAGTGGAATAATGTACGTTTCATCTTTTTAAAGAAGGAGTTTTGCCCTTGTTGTCTAGGCTAGAGTGCAATGACCTGATCTTGGCTCACCACAACTTCTGCCTCCAGGGTTCAAGTGATTCTCCTGCCTCAGCCTCCCGAGTAGCTGGGATTACGGTACCCGCCACTACGCCTGGCTAATTTTTGTATTTTTAGTAGATACGGGGTTTCATCATGTTGGCCAGCCTGGTCTCAAACTCCTGACCTCAGGTGATCCGCCTGCCTCAGCCTCCCAGAGTGCTGGGATTACAGGCGTGAGCCACCGCACCCGGCCTGTTTCATCTTTTATTATCTGAGTGTCTTCGAGACAACAGTTGTATCTGAGTTTTACCACAGGATCATCACTACTCTTAGTTATTTACTCGGTTGATGGTTGATTCTATTTTGTTTTGTGTTCCTTCCATATTACTCCTAGCAGGAGATCCTTTAATACCTAAGGACTTCACCTCTCATTTGCCTTCCTAGTAAGGAGTGAAATATTTAACTATTGAACAATGTGTTATTTTCTTTTAAATTTGCAGTGACACTTAAGGAGTTGGGCATGAGGGAGATAAGAAACTTTCCCGGTTTATCCTGAGTCCTATCTTTTATTATGGTTTCATTCTTTCATTTCTAGTGGATTCTCTAAGCTTTGGAAACATCCTCATAACATCCATTACAAATGTAACTAATTGTAATTCTGAATTCAAATATGAAGGAGGTGTGGGAGTCACTAAATGCAGTTACTTGAGAGTGCATTATAGTAAGGCAGTTATGCTAAATACATAAAAAATAGGCCATGTGAATACGTGAATACTGTGCTTGTTCTGTATGTAGATATCTATTTTATGATGCCAAATCATTAACAGTCAAAACTTTTATGAAACATTGTGATAATAAAGCGTAGTTAATGTAACCAAGCATTTTGCTTCTTCATCTTTAGGAAATTTTACGGTTCTGGCTCACAAAGGGTGTTGATGGTTTTAGCTTTGATGCTGTTAAATTTCTCCTAGAAGCAAAGCATCTGAGAGATGAGATCCAAGTAAATAAGACCCAAATCCCGGTAAAGTTTTATTTTAAACGTTTTTCTTTTGCCTTTTCTGAAAATGTCATCAGAGTGTTTTCTTTCTCAGCCTGAGATACCAATTACAAAGATGAGTTTTGTCCTGTGTCTAGCAAGCACCTCGATTCATTTCTTTAGGAAATGCGCAAGAGTTTCAAATGCATATGCACGAGATGTTTTTTTTCCACTGGTTCCCTCCAGAGCGAGGGATCCCTTGGAGTCCTTCAGTGACAAGGGTTCTGAAGACATGGACAGTGTGGCCTCTACCAAGGGCCACAAAATAGAGGACATTTACTCCTGCAATTTTGTCATCTGACATAAGTTCAAGTGAGGAGGCCTTGGCTTGTATGAGATGTTGTCTTTTGTTTTGATTCTAGGAGATTATTGTCATCCTAGAAAGACATAAAAATGAGACATTGACGTAGAAATCCTACAAAGATATAGAAATCAGGAAAAGTTTACTGAAACCCTGAGAAAAGTGTAACAGTAAGGAGAAAGGATAGTGGTGGCAAAGAAACAAATTTAAGTGCATGACGTTAATATTTTTGTGAGCAGATAAAGTATAAGTGTAATAATGAGCTCTATAACCACTAAGATCATTTTCTTTGTCTTTAAAAGTGTCTGAAACATTTTGACAATTACATGTTGAGGAGGACTTTGTAATCAATGTTTTGCTTGGTAAAATTTATTTGCTAAAATGGGTGACAGTTTATTAGAGAAATATTGCTTAGTAGATTTATAAAGTTAACAACTTGAGCATCAAATGAAGTATTCTTCTCCATCCACAAAACCATGTTTGAGTGTGTGTCTCGCTTGGCTCGAGCCCTTTGAAGAGGTTGTCTACATTTACATAGAGCCAGCTGTGGGCATGCGACATATGAAATGATAACCATGTCGTCCTGGCTTTCAAAGGACACGGTCACACAGTACTCGGAGCTGTACCATGACTTCACCACCACGCAGGTGGGAATGCATGACATCGTCCGCAGCTTCCGGCAGACCATGGACCAATACAGCACGGAGCCCGGCAGATACAGGTGACCACGGCACATGCTCTCATTCTTCCCAGGCTTAGTGTGTGATCTGCAGTGTATCCCTCACAACCAAGTGTATTTGGAGGTTCAAGTAATAATGTAACAAACCTGCATAATTATAATTGATTACAGTTTGGTTATACCAGGGCCTGCCATATTCCTTTCCTGTTTGCTTACTTTGCTGACTTTCAGTTTCCTCTTTTGTAAAATGATGCAGATCGATCACACTACTTCTTCATAGGCGTTTTGTGAAAATTAGGTTAATTAAAAAGAGATTATATTAGCTATATGTTAACCATGAACCATTGTTTTTTTCTTTTTTAAAAACCAGCTCCAGGCTGGGCACAGTGGCTCATACCTGTAAACCCAGCACTGTGGGAGGCCAAGGCAGGCGGATCACGAGGTCAGGAGTTCGAGACCATCCTGGCCAACGTGGTGAAACCCTGTCTCTACTAAAAATACAAAAATTAGCTGGGCCTGGTGGTGGGCGCCTATAATACCAGCTACTTGGGAGGCTGAGGCAGGAAAATCACTTGAACCCGGGAGGCAGAGGTTGCAGTGAGTCAAGATTGTGCCACTGCACTCCAGCCTGGGCAACAGAGTGAGACTCCATCTCAAAAAAAAAAAAAAAATAATAAGAACCAAAAAAACAGAACCAGCTCCAGCTGGGTACAGTGGTTTATGCCTGTAATCCCAGCACTGTGGGGGTTCGAGGCTGGCGGATCACCTGATAGTGTTTGAGACCAGCCTGGGCAACATGGCGAAACCCTCCTCTACTAAAACCACAGTAACTAGCCAGCCATGGTGGCGCATGCCTATAATTCCAGCTACTCGGGAGGCTGAGGCAGGAGAATTGCTTGAACCCGGGAGGTGGAGGTTGCAGTGAGCTGAGATCATGCCATTGTACTCCACCCTAGGCAACAGAGCAAGACTCCATCTCAAGAAAAAAAAATAAAATACCAGCTCCTTCTCTGTAGTATTATTTTTATCATTGTTATTGGATATGTAGTTTCCTTGTACAGCATGAATCCATATGTTTCAGCTAAAGTATTGGGACCACAGCTTTGGAATCAGGTAGGCCTGAAGGAGTCCTGCTCTGTAGCTGTGTGATCTAGGGCCAGTTAATTAATATAAGTCTCAGTTTTCTCATCAATAAAAAAGTGATAGCAGTAACCTCTATAAGGCTGTTGTGAGATTAAATTAGATAATGTATATAAAGTACTTAAAGTAGTGCCTGGATCATAATAAATACTCAATAAAATTACCCATCATTAAGTTTATATAGATCACCCAACAGAATCAATAGGAATTAAATTAAATTCATCTCCTTAAAGTAGCTACTCCGATTACTGTCTGCATTTTATAGATAAGGAAACTGAGGCTCTGAGCATGCAGGTAATGTCCACACGTAGGAGTGGCAACTATGGGATTTGAACTGAAGCAGTTGGGCTCCAGAGACCATGTACTTATCCATAAATATGCTGCCTCGCATAGCTAAAGCCAGCATTTCAGGTGAATGGGTCTTCATCAAACAGTGTTTTGCTTTCAGCAATTGAGAGTGCACACCAATAATAAGGAAAGACTTTATAGGGACTCAAATACAAGGGGAAGTTCTTTTGGAGAAAATACCTCACCTTATTTGCAGACATAAACTTCAGATTCTAAATGGAGTGATGAGAATTGCTAAAGAAAGTCTTCATGGATGTCAATGAGTTTTAGTGTCAGGATGTTACTGATTTTTGATTCTAGGAGATTATTTCTCCTAGGATTTTCTAGGTTTAGAAAGAAAAGAACAGACTGGGCGTGGTTGCTCATGCCTATAATTGCAGCACTTTGGGAGGCTGAGGCGGGCGGATCATCTGAGGTCAGGAGTTTGAGACCAGCCTGGCCAACATGGTGAAACCCCGTGTCTACTAAACACAAAAAAAAATTAGCCGGGCTTAGTGGCGGCCGCCTGTAATCCCAGCTGTTTGGGAGGCTGAGGCAGGAGAATCGCTGGAACCCAGCGGGAGGTGGAGGTTGCAGTGAGCCGAGATCATGGCATTGCACTCCAGCCTGGGCAATGAGAGTGAAACTCTGTCTCAAAAAACCAATATAGACTGAGATCCAATTTTTTTTTTTTCTTTTTTTTTTTTTAGACAGAGTCTCACTCTGTTGCCCAGGCTGGAGTGTGGTGGCACGATCTTGGCTCACTGCAACCTTCACCTCCCAAATTCAAGTGATTCTCCTGCCTCAGCCTTCCGAGTAGCTGGGATTACAGGCGCATACCACCACACCACACCTAATTTTTGTATTTTTGGTAGAGACGAGGTTTCTCCATGTTGGCCAGGCTTGTCTCAAACTCCTGACCTCAAGTGATCCACCTGCCTCGGCCTACCAAAGTGTTGGGATTACAGGCGTGAGCCACCATGCCTGGCAGTCAAATGTGTTTCATTTTTTGAGGGGGGGATTTTTCTGCCTTGCATTTTTTATTATTTAAGTTCTAGGATACATGTGCACAACGTGCAGGTTTGTTACAGAGGTATACATGTGCCATGTTGGTTTCCTGCATCCATCAACTTGTCATTTACATTAGGTATTTCTCCTAATGCTATCCTTCCCTTAGCCCTCCCACCCACTGACAGGCCTCGGTGTGTGATATTCCCCGCCCTGTGTCCATGTGTTCTCGTTATTTAACTCCCACCTATGAGTGAGAACATGCAGCATTTTATTTTCTGTCCTTGTGATAGTTTGCTCAGAATGATGGTTTCCAGCTTCATCCATGTCCCTGCAAAGGACATGAACTTATCCTTTTTTATGGCTGCATAGTATTCCATGGTGTATATGTGCCACATTTTCTTAATCCAGTCTAACATTTGGTGACAGCTTGATTATGCTTTCTAGAAGGTGCTAGTCCTATATGGTTAATGGTGTGCATTTAGCCCCTACATCTTGTACATGCAAGATAAATAGCTGTGGAGCGCCTTCCCAGTCTTCTGACAGGTCCTGATGACACTGAACCTTGTCAACTCTTACAGGTTCATGGGGACTGAAGCCTATGCAGAAACTATTGACAGAACCGTGATGTACTACGGATTGCCATTTATCCAAGAAGCCGACTTTCCCTTCAACAATTACCTCACCATGCTAGACACTGTTTCTGGGAACAGTGTGTATGAGGTTATCACATCCTGGATGGAAAACATGCCAGAAGGAAAATGGCCTAATTGGATGGTAAGTCCTCATGCCAGCACAGTACATAATGTGCTGCTGTTGCCTTTGCTGTCTAGTTACCTCTAAAATACAATGGACCTTTGTCTCTAAGTGACTATCACCTCTGCCTTATTTCTTGTTTGTTCAGTGGTCAGGCCTGTCCCAGCCTCTGCCAGGTTCTTTTCGTTAAGGGAGAGACACTGCCCACTGAATGGAATGGATATTGAATGAGTGCTTGTCTATGCTCAGAACACTGCTAGGCTTTTTTGGGGCTGGATATCAAAAAATAATTTCTCCCCACATATCCCAGAGTTTATGATGTCAATGGGAAGAAAGAGGATTTCAGGTGTGGAAAGAGGTACAGCGCAATTCAGGGCAACATAAAACTGTGACAAAACACCAACTTGTGGGGTAGAATGCACTGCAAAAAACATTTAAACTACAGAGATTCTCAGAGAAAGAATTTCTCCCCCTTCTGCACTACACTCTTCAGAACAATTTTTTTTTTTTTTTTTTTTTGAGACAGGGTCTCACTCTGCACCCAGGCTGGAGTGCAATGGTGCAATCATGGCTCACTGCAGCCTCAACCTCTGAGGCTCAAGCAATCCTCCCACTTCACCCTCCTGAGTAGCTGGGACTACAGGCGCATGCCACCATGCCTGGCTAATTATTTTTGTTTTTGTATTTTTAGTAGAAGTGGAGTTTTACCATGTTGGCCAGGCTCATCTTAAACTCCTGACTTCAGGTGATCTGCCCACCTTGGTCTACCAAAGTGCTGGGAATACAGGCATGAGCCACCATGCCCGGCACTAACATTTTTCAAGACTGGCAATATATTACTTCAGTAAAGAACAAAAAGATACAGTGATACATACCTGTGGTAACAAACCAGTATTCTCACTTCCACACCTGTCAGGGTTGCTTTTCCTGATCTGATCTTTCTGTCTTTGGGTTTGAATTAGAGATCAACATTAGGCCCCTCTGTAAGATGTTTGTAGTATTATCGATGTAAGCCCTGCTGCTTCAAAGTCCCACGGTAACAGTGGTTGAAACAAAATGGAAGTTTCTTTCTCTCATATAAAAGACAACCCTCGCCGGGCGCGGTGGCTCAAGCCTGTAATCCCAGCACTTTGGGAGGCTGAGGCGGGTGGATCACGAGGTCAGGAGATCGAGACCATCCTGGCTAACATGGTGAAACCCCGTCTCTACTAAAAATACAAAAAACTAGCCGGGCGTGGTGGCGGGCACCTGTAGTCCCAGCTACTCAGAGGCTGAGGCGGGAGAATGGCATGAACCCGGGAGGCGGCGCTTGCAGTGAGCTGAGATCCTGCCACTGCACTCCAGCCTGAGTGACACAGCGAGACTCCGTCTCAAAAAAAAAAAAAAAAAAAAAAGACAACCCTCCTTCCTTTCTCTTTCTTTCTCTCTTTCTCTCTCTCTCTCTCTCTCTCTCTCTCTCTCTCTCTTTCTCTCTCTCTCTTTCTCTCTCTCTCTCTTTCTCTCTTTCTCTCTTTCTCTCTTTCTTTCTTTCTTTCAGACGCAGTCTCCCTCTGTTGCCCAGGCTGGAGTGCAGTGGCACGATCCTGACTCACTGCAAGCTCCGCCTCCCGGGTTCAAGCAATTTTCGTGCCTCAGCCTCCTGAATAGCTGGGATTACAGGTGCACACCACCATGCGCAGCTAATTTTTTAATTTTTAGTAGCGATGGGTTTCACCATGTTGCTCAGGCTGGTCTTGAACTCCTGACCTCGTGATCCACCTGTCTCGGCCTCCCAAAGTGCTGGGATTACAGGCATGAGCCACCACTCCTCGCCCTTCCTTTCTTTAATATATTATAAATGTAAATTCTAAAACACCTTTTTAGTCTCGATAATCTTCCATCTCTCTGTATCTCTACCACCTTAGGCTGTTTCTGTGGTCTCATCCTTTAGGTCTCAGGTAAGTGTCAACACAGGAAGCCTTCTGGAGCCCCCAAATGAGGTGCCAGGTCTACCTACTGTATACTGTAGCACCCCTTCATTCCCTTTCCTTAAAGTCCACACACTTCCATGATGTCTGCTTTCCCCACTAGACTGTGCACTGGTTAAGGGCAGAGGCAGGTTCCCAGCATCCTAATACGGTGCCCACCTCACACTGAGGTGCTCAGGCTCAGGGTTTGTTTGTTGCTGGTGCTGTTATTCTTACGCAGTTCAGCGATTTACCAAAGGTGTGCCTTCTCTTATATACAGAGAGAGTTGCTCTCGTATAGCGAGTTGCCTTACACTAGTCAATATCTTCTGTGGTACCCCCACAATACTTGTAGGTTTGATCTGAGCCCTGAAAAGTGGTATGATTTTGATACTTTATGCACAGATCCTGCCAGCTATCTTACACAGCCTGATGAAAACCTGAAAGGATAAAGGAGAAAATGCAGCCTAGGCAGAAAAACACTGGCAGAATCTGTGAACCATGATTAAGCTTATTTCAATCTTTTCTGATGCTTTAATTGGCAGGAATGTGTGTTTCCATTGCCAGAGCCTTTCTCTGTCCGGTGAGGGGAAAGAGGCTCACAATTAGGCATGGTAAAAGCTTTAATTTGTTAAATGTAAGTATTAAAACTATACTGCAATTTTAAAATTACAACTTTGTTGAGATACAATTCACATACCATAAAATTTACCTTTTTTTTCTTTTTTCGAGATGGAGTTTTGCTCGTGTTACCCAGGCTGGAGTGCAGTGGCACGATCCCGGCTCACTGCAACCTCTGCCTCCTGGGTTCAAGTAATTCTCCTGCCTCAGCCTCCAGAGTAGCCGGGATTACAGGTGCATGCCACCACGCCCAGCTATTTTTTTGTATTTTTAGTAGAGACACGGGGTTTCATCATGTTGACCAGGCTGGTCTCGAACTCCTGACCTCAGGTGATCCACCCATCTCGGCCTCCCAAAGTGCTGGGATTGCAGGTGTGAGCCACTGAGCCCAGCTAAAATTTACCATTTTTAAAGTATATAATTAAGTGGATTTTTGGTATATTCACGGAATTATGCAACTATCACCAACATCTCATTCCAGAGCATTTTCATCACCCCCAAAAGAAACCACATATCCCATTAGTAATTAGCATGGCCCCTCCCTCTCTGTCCTCAGTCTCTGGCAACCACTCACCTACCTTCTGTGTCTATGGATTTGCCTACTCAGGGCATTTCATGTAAATGAAGTTATACAATATGGGCCTTTTGTGTCTAGCTTCTTTCACTTAACATGGTGTTTTCAAGGTTTATCCATGTTGTAGTACATATCAGTACATCGTTCCTTTTTAAGGCTGAATGATAACTTCCATAAAGCACATTTTGTTTTCCATTCATGAACTGACATACATTTGTTTTCACTTTTGGATTATTATGAATAGTGATGCTATGGACATTTGTGTACAAGTTTTTATAAAAGCATGTTTTCAGTTCTCTCTGGTATATATCCGGGAGTGGAACTGCTCCACTGGGCATATGGTAAGTCTACATTTAACTATTTGAGGAACTGCCAAACTGTTTTCCAAAGTAGCTACACCATTTTACATTTCCACCAGCAATGTTACGAGGGTTCCGATTTTTCTACATCTCATCAAGCCTTGTGATGATGGCCTTCCTGCTGAGTGTCAAGTTGTTATCTCATTGTAATTTTTTTTCTTTTGTATTTCCCTGATGGCTAATTTTGTTGAGGGTATTTTCATGTGCTTATTGGACATTTGTATGTCCTATTTGGAGAAATGTCTATCCAAATTATTTGCCTATAATTACATTTGGTTGTCTTTTTACTGTTTAGTTGTAAGAATTCCTGATATATACTGGATAGGTGATTTGCAAGTATTTTCTCCCATTCTATGGGCTTTCATGTCACTTTCTTGATAGCATCCCTCAAAAAGCATAAAAGTTTTTAATTTTTATGAAGTCCAATTGTTTTGTTGTTGTTGTTACTTGTACTTTTAGTTTTATATTAGAAACCATTGCCTGGTCCATCTATCCCAGCACCACATGCTAAAAAGACTATTCTTTCCTTCATTGGATTATCATGGAATCTTTGTTGAAAACTCAACTGATTGTAGGCTGGGCATGGTGGCTCACACCTGAAATCCCAGCACTTTGGGAGGTTGAGGTGGGAGTTGAGCCTAGGAGTTCAAGGTTGCAGTGAGCCATGATCATCACACTACTGAATTCCAACCTGGGTGACAGAGTGAGAACCCATCTCTAAATATAAAACAAGGCCGCGCGCGGTGGCTCACGCCTGTAATCCCAGCACTTTGGGAGGTTGAGGCGGGCGGATCACGAGGTCAGGAGATTGAGACCATCTTGGCTAACACAGTGAAGCCCTGTCTCTACTGAAAATATAAAAAATTAGCCGGGCGTGGTGGCGGGCACCTGTAGTCTCAGCTACTGAGGCTGAGGCAGGAGAATGGCGTGAACCCAGGAGGCGGAGCTTGCAGTGAGCCGAGATGGCGCCACTGCACTCCAGCCTGGGTGGCAAAGCGAGACTCAGTCTCAAAAAAAATATATATATATATATTTTTTATATATTTATATATATAAAATATATAAATGTATATATATATAAAACAAAACAAAAAAAGAAAATCAGTTGATTTCCAGACCTCAGTTCTGCTCATCTATATGTCTGTTTCTATGCCTGAACACCCTGAGTTGATTGGTGTAGCTTAGTAAGTTTTAACATAGACAAGTATGGGTCCTCCAACTTTGTTATTTTTCAAGATTGTTTTAGCTGTTCTGGGTACCTTATATTTCCATGTAAATTTTAGGATTTCCATATAATTTTTAGAATAGCCAACTGGGATTTAAAAAGCCAACTGGGATTTTGATAGGGATTGCATTGAATCTGTTTATCATTTTTGGCAGTCATGCCATCTTAACAATATTAAGTCCGCTAATCCATCAACACAGATGTATCTTATTTAGGTCTTTCGATGATGTTTTGTATTTTTCATTGTATAAGTATTACACCTTTTGTTCAATTTATTTGTATTTTGTTCTTTTGATATTATTGTAAACTGAATGGCTTTCTTAATTTCATTTTTGGATTCTTCATTATTAGTGTATAGAAATACAATAGATTTGTGTATATTGATCTTGTATCCTACAACATTGCTAAACTTGTTTTTCATTTCTAATAGTTTATTGTGAATTCCTGAGGAATTATTATTTTTTTTTTGAGGCAGTTTTGCTCTGTCGCCCAGGCTGGAGTGCAGTGGTGTGATCTTGGCTCACTGCAAGCTCCGCCTCCCAGGTTCACACCATTCTCCTGTCTCAGCCTCCTGAGTAGCTGGGACTACAGGTACCCGCAACCATGCCCCGCTAACTTTTTGTATTTTTAGTAGAGACGTTATTTTTAGTAATGGGGTTTCACCGTGTTAGCCAGGATGGTCTCGGTCTCCTGACCTCATGATCCACCCACCTCGGCCTCCCAAAGTGCTGGGATTACAGCCACCGCGCCCGGCCTCCTGAGGAATTTGTTGTTTTAAAATTATGGCAAAATATGCATAAAACATAATTTTAAACATTCAAAAGTGTGTAATTCAATGCATTAAATACATTCAAAATGTTGTACAACCATCACCATCCCAAACAGAAAATCTGTACCCACTAAACAATAATTCCTCACTCCCACCACTAACCCGATATCCTCCATTCTGTTTTCAGCCTCTCTAAATTTGCCTATTCTAGGTACCTCGTATAAGTGGAATCATAACAATATTTGTCCTTTTGTGTCTGCCTCATTTCACTTAGCTTAATGTTTCCAAGTTCCCTTCATACACACAATAGCATGTATCACATCTTACTCCTTATGACTGAATAACATTCCATGGTACCTATGTAACACGTTATCTATTCATCTGTTGGTGACATTTGTGGTTTTGCCTTCTTTTGGCTACTAGAATAATGTTACAAATCAATGGTGTACAAGTATCTGTTTAAACCCCAGATTTCAATTCTTTTGGATCTATACCATGGAGTGGAATTGCTGGATCACATATTTCTTTCTTGTTTTTGTTTTGTTTTTTGAGATAGAGTCTCACTATCACCCAGGTTGGAGTGCAGTGGTATAATCTTGGCTCACTGCAAACTCCACCTCTGGGTTCAAGTAATTCTTATGCCTCAGCCTCCTGTGTAGCTCAGATTACAGGCATGTGCCATCATGACTGGCTAATTTTTGTATTTCTTGTAGAAATGGGGTTTTGACATGTTGGCCAGGCTGTTCTGGAACTCCTGGCCTCAAGTGATTTGCTGCCTTGGCCTCCCAAAGTGCTGGGATTACAGGCAAAAGCCACCGTACCCAGCCTTTTTTTTGGAGACAGGGTCTCACTTTGTCACCCAGGCTGGAATACAGTGGTGTGAACATGGCTCACGGCAACCTTGACTTCCTGGGCTCAAGCAATCCTCCTGCCTCAGCTCCCACCAAGTAGCTGGGACTATAGGTGCATGCCACCATCCCTGGCCAATTTTTGTATTTTTTGTGGAGATAGGGTTTCGCCATGTTGTCCAGGCTGGTCTTGAACTCCTGAGCTCAAGTGATCTTCCCGCCTTGGCCTCTCAAAGTGTTAGGACTTTGAGAACCACTGTGCCCAGCCTTGGATCATATAATACTTCTCTGATTTTGAGGAACTACCAAACTGTTTTCCATAGTGACTTCTCCATTTTACATTCCCATCAGCAATGTACGAAGGTTCCAATTTCTTTTCATCCTCCCTGACACTTTTCTGTCTTGTTTTCAAAAATTAGGCTTCATACCACATATGAAGTGGTATCTCATTTTCTCATTATTGAATAACAGTTTTGCTGGATATAGAAATCTTGGTTTACATTTCTTTCTTTCATCAGTTCGAATATATCATCCCATGTCCTCTGGCCTCCATGGTTTCTGTTAAGTCAGTTGCTAATCTTATTGAGATTCCTTACATGTGATGTACCAATTTTCTTTGCTCCTTTAAAGACTGTGTCTTTTAACGGTTTGACTGATAGTGTCTAAGTGTGGGTTTTTAAAAATTTTGTCCTACTTGGAGTTCACTGAGGTTCTTAGATACACAATTAAAAAAAAAAAAATCAAATTTGGGAAGTTGTTGGCTATTTTTTCAAATATTGTTTCTGACCATTTCTCTCCCTTCTCTCCTTTTGAGACTCCCACTTTGCATATGTTGATATGCATGATAGTATCCCACAGGTTTCTGAGAGTCTGCTCTTTTTTCTGAGATAGGGTTTTGCTCTGTCGCCCAGGCTGGAGTGCAATGGTGTAAACATGGCTCACTGCAACCCTGATGTCCTGTGCTCAAACAATTTTCCCATCTCAGCTTCTTGAGTAGCTGGGACTACAGGTGCATGTCACCATGCCTGGCTAAATTTTTAATTTTTTGTAGACATGGAGTCTCACCATGTTGCCCAGGCTGGTCTAGAACTCCTGGGCTCAAGCAATCCTCCTGCCTTGGCATCCCAAAGCACTGGGATTACAGGTGGGAGCCACAGTGCCTGGCCTCATTCTTCTCTATTTTTTCTTTCTGGTTCTCAGGCCAGATACTCTCAATTGACCTGTCTTCAAGTTTTCTGATTCCTTTGCTAGTTCAAATTTGTCAAATCCCTCTGGTAAACATCTCACTTTAGCTATTGTATTTAACTCTAAAATTTTTATTTTTTCATAATTTCTCTTTATTATCTATTTGATGACTGTTCATATACTTTATTTAAATTCTTTAGACACAGCTTTTTTCTTTGAATATCAAAATATTAGCTGGTTTAAAGTCTTTGTCTAGTAAGTCCAATGTTTGGTCTTCCTAAGCAACATTTGCTATTGACTCCCCCCACCATTTTTTGAGCCATATTTTCCTGTTTTGTTTGCCTGTTTTGTATATTTGTTGTTGTTGTTAAAAACTGGACATTTTAAGTAGTATGACAATTCTGGAAATCACATTCTTCCTTTCCCAGTGTTTGTTGTGCTCTATGTCCAGAAGGCTTGAGAAATCAAAGGGTTTCTTGTCGGAAGATCTCATGATAAAGAAAAGAATAAAAAGATGGAGGCAAAAATTGACCTAATTTTCTGGCCATAAATATCGAAAAATACTTCACAATGGTCTATAAAAACATAATTATAAAGATCATTTTCATACATCCTAGGAAGTTAAAAAAAAAAGCAACGTCCTATTTGTTGAATTGTAGCAATTAAGTCTTATCCTAAGACTCAAGTTCAAACGCTAGTTCTGTCTCATACTACTACTTGAATAAATGATGCAATTTCTCAGAGCTTGTTTCTTCATTTGTAAAATGGAGACAGTACTTGCTAGCACTGTTGTGTGAAGTAGGGAAATACAGGTGTGAAAGTACTTTTTAAAAAGTAAAGTGCCATGCTCAGCCTATGCACATGAGGGTTTGAGTTGTGGGTTATGGAGAGTTGTCAGGTGATTTAAATAAATTCTTATTTAAACAAACTCTTACTTAAATAAGGGCTAGAACATTTAACATGGAAATATATTTACAAATAGAAAACACTTTATAACATTTCATCTTGGACTATGTAAATTCTTTCCAAAAGTTGATTTAAAAATTTTGTCTGAATAGTTCATAAGTCAAAACAATTTTTTAAAAGAGGACACATCAGAAGTCTCTCATGCCTGTCCTTTCACCTTGTTCCACTGTCTTGCTCTCTGCAACAGTTTTGTTTCCTTTCCTGTCAATATTCTCTTATCCAGATATGAGAAAATATGACTATGTATGTACCCTCTGAGTTTTATTTGCAATATCATTGTAAATTCTTACCACTCTTTTCTTGCTCATCAGTGGCCAAGATAATAAATTGGTCAGTTACACAGCAAATAGCAGGCCTAGGACTCAAGTCCAGGCTTGCTAGTAACAAGGTACCACATCTACTTTGTTTTGCTACCTAGTGAACTTTCTGTGAAATAGGGTAAATCTTTCAGAAAACTGTGTTATAGAGCTGTGTTCTTAAAAATATCTGCCTTTCAGATTGGTGGACCAGACAGTTCCCGGCTGACTTCTCGTTTGGGGAATGAGTATGTCAACGTGATGAACATGCTTCTTTTCACACTCCCTGGAACTCCTATAACTTACTATGGAGAAGAAATTGGAATGGGAAATATTGTAGCCATAAATCTCAATGAAAGCTATGATACTGTAAGTTGAATACAACTTGACTATTCATCACAGCTATAAAACCAAGTACTCATTTTTTATTTTTTGCCAAATCAGAGAACTTACCATCTCTCTATTCCATTGTTGAAAATCATGGTTACTTTTCTTTTCTTTCTTACTGTTAGTAAGAATTCTCAGCTTTCTTGGTGGTTTGAGAGCTTATTTTAAAAATGCTTTTGGAGTCACACAACTAAATTTCTTGGGTAGGGCATTTTAAAGATGTTTTCTACCTGACAGGCACATTAAAATTTATTTATTTATTTATTTATTTATTTATTTATGAATACTGTGTTGAGAGGCACACTAAAATTGGAGAACCAGTGGTTTAGTTTAGAATATTATTCATTTCCCTCTACTTGAAATGTGGAGTTAGGAACACATTTCTTTAGTTCTCATTTGTCCTCTTTGGTCTTGGGTGACCATAGCACAAGGACCCTTTCTTTTCTGTTATCATGTGCAGTGCACAGCCTCAAAGTCAAGCATTTTTTATTTTGTAGCTATAGATTTCAGAATTGTGTTGCTGTGTAGATGACTGTCTTGCAACTTTAATTTGCCTGGTTAGCTTTCAATTGTATGAGATCCAATTTCCCTAATATTTGATTAAGGTGAAGCCTTTTTTTCTATTAGCTCCTACATTTGTGTGTGTGCACTCGTGAGCAATAACCAGGCTGAATAAATGAGCAGGATAGAATTCACACTCACTTGTACATGGCAGTGTTCTTAAATTCACCATCACTGTACCATAGAAGTCATGTATATTGGTAATAGCACACTTTGAAATCCTATATTACTGATTTTTAGGAAAAAGCAGCAAAGATTTCAAGCATGTATTAAAGTTCAATTTGTATTGTCTATTCAAACTCAATGTTATTAGGTACTTTCCAGTTAAAAGTGTGAAACTGGTTTATGTACCTAGTGTTAAGGCCTTTTCATCACAAATGCTAATGAGTACAGACACTAGCTAAGAACTACAGGGAATTAAATAATTATGAAGTAAATCAGGACCAAAGTACATTTCTTTTAATAACCAAACCACTGTTTTCCCTTTCTGGTCTTTTGACATAGAATACCCTCCTCTCAAAGTCACCAATGCAGTGGGACAACAGTTCAAATGCTGGTTTTTCTGAAGCTAGTCACACCTGGTTACCCACCAATTCAGATTACCACACTGTGAATGTTGATGTAAGTATGAGTGAAAATTTTATGTTGATTTTAGAAACAAGAAATGGGTTTCTACTGAAAGTACACACTCACCCTGAATGTGTCTAAACCTTCACAGATACTCTTTATGTCAATCACAGACTTCCCTTGTAGTTTTCAATTTGTAAGGAGTTTGTAAATCATGCCTTTGTGAAAATACAAACTGGTAGAAATCTACCAAGTGAAGTATCATATAGAATATACAAGTCTTCATTGGAATGACCTTTTCTAAGGCCTTTGAGCTATGAAGGAAATTTATAGAAGTTTTTTAGCTAGCCCAGCTACCCTTCCTCTTCTCTTCTCCTCGAAAGGCAGGGAGAGAGGCAGGTGGGTGGATAGGCAGCCATGCAGGCAGGAAGGAGATCAATCAATCAACCCAGAGCAAGGCTCAAATCCACACTACTGTTCTGAAGAAACAGAAGCCATACATGATCCTTGAAGTGGTTGCTCTGGCATACTAATACCACTTTGGCTTTTGCCCTTTTTTCTGTTCCCATAGTGATCAAGCACTAATATCATTCAGTAGCCAAAACTTCACTGGAAAACAAACTAAATCAATTTAGGGGAAATGAAATTATAGATGCCACATGGAGATACTTCAGAAATGCTAAGAAATGCATAGCACAACCCCCACCCCCCAGCCACGCGCACACACACACACACCATGCCCCATATCCCAGTCTACTGAATAATCTGAGGAAACTCCCCAGGATATTCAGATATAGAAAGCCACACAAACCCTCCTGCTCCCACAGCTCCCTGCTACAAACACCACTGAGAATTCCTGGACAGTATAAGCTTTGTTTTATACAGTTGTAGGTCTTGAAGACACAAAAAATATATTTAACATTTGTGTTTTGGGTTGAATGCCTCTTGATTTTCATTATATCTAAAATATTCCCATAGGCCAATCTGAATACAATATGTAGGAAATCCTACATAAAAATCCATACCAGCAAAGATGGAGAAAATGCAAATTAAAACTTTTTTTTTTTTTTTTTTTTTGAGATGGGAGTTTCACTCTTGTTGCCCTGGCTAGAGTGCAATGGCATGGTCTTGGCTCACCGCAACCTCCACCTCCTGGGTTCAAGTGATTCTCCGACCTTGGCCTCCCAAGTAGCAGGGATTACAGGCGTCCACCACCATGTATGGCTAATTTTTGTATTTTTAGTAGAGATAGGATTTCACCATGTTGGGCAGGCTGGTTTCAAACTCCTGACCTCAGGTGATCCACCCACCTTGGCCTCCCAAAGTGTTGGGATTACAGGCATGAGCCACCATGCCCAGCCAACAATGGCACTTTTTTTCTATCAGATTAACAAAGTCTTTAAAAATGATCATGAGTGATGAGAGATACTAAGTCATAAATCCCAGACAATGCCATTTTAATTAAAATACATCCAAATGACCCTGGAAAGGAACAGAAAATTTAAGTAATTTCTAAAATATATAAAGTAAAATTAGGGCTGGGCACCATGGCTGACACCTGTAATCCCAGCATTTTGGGAGGCCAAGGCCAGAGGAATGCCTGAGCACAGGAGTTTGAGACCAGCTTAGGCAATATAGTGAGACCTTGTTTCTATCTTCCCCCTACCCCTGCCAAAAAAAAAAAAAAAAAAAAAAAAAAAAAGAAATTAGCTGGGCCTGGTGACATGTGCCTGTCATCCCAGATAGGAGGCTGAGCCCAAGAGGTCAAGGTTGCGGTGAGCTGTGATTACCCCACTGTACTCCAGCCTGGGTGACAGATTAAGACCCTCTCAAAAAAAACAAAACAAAAAAAGAATAGAAGTGGGAGTCTAAAACACACAGGAGAAAAACAGTTCTAATGGAGAGAGCACTGTAGGAATTTCCTGAACTCCTGCAATTGGCCGTGGCATAATTTCCCTAAGGAAAAAAAAAATCCCGACCTGTTTGGTGATCACATGCATAGGAGAATGAGTAGAACAAAGCCTGAAACTTCTACACGTGCATCAAGAAAGAAAAGAAGGAGAACAAGACCTAACTCCAGCGCTGTCCCCTGGCGAGAATTCACTGTGGAATGCTCTCAGAAAGGAGAGCTTTTACTACTCAGCTCAGAGTCACAGAGGCCAGGAGAAAAATGGTGGGAATCTAGCAAGCACATCACCTTCAAGTAGGAAAAGAACCCAATGTCCCAAAGACAAGTCAGACCCACATCCAATTTGGCTTCTCATTATGAGAGGCAGGAAACCAAAGACAGGCAAACAAGGAAGGTCAAAACACAAAAGCAAACAGATCAAGAATCACACAGTATCTGAGAAAAACCAAGGCCATGGAAGGGAGACACCATTCCTGACAGAACACTGTAGAAAGCAGAGAAAATATCGCAAACATAAGACTTAAATATAAGTATAAATACCCCCAGCAGATTGTTGTTTAATGGAGCTCCTTGACATTCTTTAAGAAGTGATTAGATATCTCAGAAGTGTAGAAGACTGTCAATGAAATTAAACATTTAATAAGAACATAAGGGCTAATTAGTGTGCTGAAAAATTGATCCAGAGGCTTGTCCAGAATGCACTGAAAAAGGCAAAGAAATAAGAGCATAAGAAAAAATTGGGATGCATGGAAGATAGATACAGAATTCCAACATGCAGCAACAACAATTGCACAGGAGAACAGACTGGAGGAAACATACAAAGAAATAAAACACATAACCCAGAGATAAAGGAAGACTTTATCTTTTAGAACAGCTAGGATAGAGAAAACTCCAAAACTACTCAGAAAGAAACCAAACCTGAAACTAGATTGCCTGAGAAAAGGGTTGAGAATTGGACTAGCATCAGACTTCTCAATTGGATACTACAGCACATTAGAATTCTATCTTCAAAATTGTAATGGAAACTGAATTATAAACCTAGATACTCGATAGCCATTCAAACTAGCATTAAGAGAGCAAAATAGAGATGGAAAAGCAAGGACCCACATTTTACCATGCATGGCCACTTTCTGAAAGAATAGTCAAGGGACTATCCAACAAAACAAAACATAACAAATCCAAAACAGAGATACAATGTATTAAAGGAAAAGGAAATATAACGATTTAAATAATTTTTGATACATAATATAAAACAAGGTATTCTGGAACAAAAATCTTAGTGATTTGATTCTATATGGGAAATATTAGCAGGGAGGGTGTGTGGGTGGGAGAGGGCACACAGGAGCAAGTAAGTAAGAGAGCAGTGTTTGCTTTGCACGGAAAAAGTAACTCTAGATTTGAGCTGTTCAGAAGCCATTAACCACTGTGACTATTACATTAAATAGAATTAAACATTTAGTTCCTGCTGGGTATGGTGGCTCATGCCTATAATCCCAGCACTTTGGGAGGCCAAGGTGGGAGGATCACTTGATCCTAGGAGTTTGAGACCAGCCTGGGCAACATAGTAAGAACCCAGCTCTTAAAAAAAAAATTACCTGGGCATCATGACACACACCTGTAGTCCCAACTACTCAGGAGGCTGAGGTGGGAGGATCACTTGAGGCCAGGATGTTGAGGCTGCAGTGAGCCATGATCGTGCCACTGCACTCCAGCCTGGGCAACAGAGGGAGATTTTGTAAAAAAAAAAAAAAAAAAAAAAAAAATCACTTCCATGTCATACTAACACTTCAAGTGCTCAGTAGGTGCCATATTGGATAGCACTGATATAGAACATTTCTAGCATTACAGAAAGTTCTGTTGGCCAGCATTGTTCTAGATGTTGAGAAAAATTATTTTAAAGTGGTCATAATTTTAATGGTAAAATTAGGACAGACATAAAAATGATTTTCAGAGAATTATTTTCAAGGAACACTACACATAAAATATAAAAATTTTCAAATTTTCAAAGATCACTAGAAGAAAATTATACAGTCAATCCAATAAAAAGCTTAATAGAAAAAAACCCAAACAATATAACTACAGATAAAATAGGGCTTCAGAATTATGTCTATTTATACAATAATTACAAATATGAATGGGTTAAATTAGCCTATTAAAAGATAAAACCACTCATAACAAAAACAGACACAAGAGACACTGCTAACACAAAACACAAAGAATTAAAATGAAGATATAGCAAGCAAATAATAGGAAGCTTGCAACCCAGCTAGTTATGAACACAAAAAATGGTTATCTTTTGACCTCATAATTCCATTCCTACATACTTGTATTTAGAAATATGTGAACAATGTACACAATAAATATTCAAAGGATCTCAACTATGACATTTTTTTTTTTTGAGACAGAGTCTTGCTCTGTCACCCATGCTTGAATGTAGTGGCGTGATCTTGGCTCACTGCAGCCTCCACCTCCCAGGTTCAAGCAATTCTCCTGCTGCGGCCTCCCGAGTAGCTGGGATTACAGGTGTACATCATTATGCCTAGCTAATTTTTGTATTTTTTAGTACAGATGGTGTTTCACCATGTTGGCCAGGCTGGTCTTGAACTCCTGACCTCAGGTGATCTGCCTGCCTTGGCCTCCCAAAGCGCTAGGATTATGGCCTGAGCTACCTTGCCCAGCCTGCAACACTTGTTTTGAATAGAAGACATGAGAAATGATTTAAATATTTTATCAACAGAAAACCAGTTCCATCAACTATGGGCCCAGTATGCAGCTTTTAAAAATGAGAGCTCTATATACATTGATATGAGACCATTTCTAACATGTATTCAATAAAGTATAGAATGGTAACATGTTACCAATTGTGTAAAGAAAAATATGTAAACATGTTTGCATAGACACAATGTATCATTTCATATGACACATAAAAACAAAAGAACATATAGTTATAGTGCCTGTCTCCGAGGGGAACTGTGAAGCTATGGAAAGGTGTTGAAGAAAACCTTTTTATAGTATGTATTCTTCTTGTAATTGAATAAAAAAAAAATTACAAAAGTCAGGCTTGGAAATATTTAATAGCAGACAAAATATAGTTCAATATGAAAAGCATTATATGAGACAAAGGCAATTTTCAAAAATTGATAAAACATTCCACTAAAAATCATGAATACGCATCTAACAGCTTCAAAATATAGAAAATACTCAAATGCAAAATCGACAAATCCACAATTACAGAAAAAGACTTCAACATACTTCTAGAAAGTAATAAGTAGACAACAATAGCTAACACTTACTGGGCACTTCTTATGTGAGTGGCACTGAAACATGTGCTTTCATGCATTACCTAAGGCTAGAGAAAATGTTAACTTTGACAAGTCATATACATGTATCATAAATATCTTTGTACCTGACAAACAGAATAAACATTTTTTTCAAACACCCATTATTAGATAATTATTTAAAGACCACATATTGGGAACCCACCCCTAAAGAACAGTAACAACCACAATAACAACTACTACCCCAGTAAACATGGCTGGCAAGAATACAATTAAATGAACATTATCACTGATTTGGCAACAGCTCTTATGAAGAATAATTTGGCATTGTGTATCAAGTGCCCATACTCTTTGACAAAGTAACTGTCTTTCTGATAATCTTAAATAATACAAAAATGGGGGGAGGGGAATAAAAATAGAAAATATTAGAAACACAAATGTCAAATTGAAAGGGTGTGGTTAAGTATGGTACAACCATTCAACGGAATATTGTCATTTGTCAATGTTTATGGAGGCTATATTATATAGGCAATAAATGCATGAAATGTTACAAGTACATCATCAAATTAGGTATGTTTTATATAGCTGTAAAATAAACCCAAATCATCTTTAATGAACACATACTATTATGGTAAAAAAAAAAAAAAAAAATCTACAATTTCTAACTTTCACCTAAGGCAGCTTTTTATTTTGCATCCTTTTTTCAACTTTCTCTTCTATTAGCTGTGCAAGAAATACATGCCTGCTAAAGTTACGTGATCTTCGCACAAAAGCAATCTATACATTATTCTACAAAGGGGAACAAACCCAAATTCCTCAGAAGTGCACTGTTGCTTTCCTTCTGGCCATCTGGCAGTTACAATGCAGCACACAGTGACTTTACACAAGTTAAATATTCATCATCTTAGACGTGGACATTTGTTTTGGGATTCCTAAAGTGGAGTCAAATTTGGTCTCTACAGAAACTCTACAATGTAGCAGAGCACTGTGCATACTTATTGACTCCCAGACAAGCTGAAACCCTGAATTTGTCATTTCTATTAGTTTTTATATAAATTGTTCTTACCTACTTATTGATGCTTACAATTTGGCAATTATAAGGGGCAAAATTGAAGCAAGTGTTTTGGGTAAATAACTCCTTAAAATATATTAAAAATACTTACAAACAATTCTTAGAATCAAACACTTATGTAAATACTTTTTTTAAAAAATAGGTCCAAAAGACTCAGCCCAGATCGGCTTTGAAGTTATATCAAGACTTAAGTCTACTTCATGCCAATGAGCTACTCCTCAACAGGGGCTGGTTTTGCCATTTGAGAAATGACAGTCACTATGTTGTGTACACAAGAGAGCTGGATGGCATAGACAGAATCTTTATCGTGGTTCTGAATTTTGGAGAATCAACACTGTTAAATCTACAGAATATGATTTCAGGCCTTCCCGCTACAGTGAGAATAAGGTTAAGTACCAATTCTGCCAACAAAGGCAGTGAAGTTGATACAAGTGGTATTTTTCTGGACAAGGGAGAGGGACTCATCCTTGAACACAACACAAAGAATCTCCTTCATCGCCAAACAGCTTTCAGAGATAGATGCTTTGTTTCCAATCGAGCATGCTATTCCAGTGTATTGAACATACTGTATACCTCGTGTTAGGCACCTTTATGAAGAGATGAAGACACTGGCGTTTCTTTGGGATTGTAAGCATTTGTAATAGCTTCATGTACAGCATGCTGCTTGGTGAACAATCATTCTTTGATATTTCTGTAGCTTGAACGTAACTGCTTTAAGAAAGGTTCTCAAATGTTTTGAATAAAAACGTTTAAAAGTAAATTATCGCTTATAGGAGCTTATAACTTTATTGAGATAGCATCAATCAGGGATGACCAGAACACATTAGGACCCCAGATTATTCAAAAACTTTAACGAATTTTAAGGGGAAGAATTTTATCTTTTCCCTTAAAATGCAGTCACAGAAATTAGAGGATGACTCACTGCCACAGTGTCTAAAAGCACTTGCTAGCAAAGAGGCAGGACACTGATTTGTAAACTGCTCAACTGTTCTGAATGGAAGGGAAGCCTAGAGTTCTGCTATCACCAATCTTTCCCTTCCCTCTACTCCATGTCCTTCTAAGGAGCATGATTTAAAAACTACTTTCCTAGGTTAATGGGCATGTGCATCAATGGAGAGAACAGTATAAGCAAGTAAGATGTAGACTAAGCAAAATTTAGATGGAGAAGCACATTTTAAAAAATTAATAACTTAAAAATCTCAAGTTATTAATTTTTTTTTTTGCTAACTCCAAGACTATGAAATATTTCAATTTCCAATTCCCAGTTGAATGTAGTGTTTCAGAATTTCAGGTATTTCTTAAGATCCTCGAAAACACTGGTGCTGTCAAGTCCAAGTTCCTCGTACAGGAATTTAATTTGGGCTGTAATCTAAAAGAAACACATTAAAAAAAATAAAATAGAAGGCCTTTGTAGTAAAATGCCACTGTTTAAGCTTCTCTTTATTCATCTTTACCTAACCCTGAAGTCAGCAATTTATGGCAAGAATACTTTCATTTGGGGCAGAGGCAGAAGGCTTCCAACAATTAAGATTATTTTCTTTAACAGAGCTCACTTATCAAGTACAGGAGAGACATTTCTCTTGATTGACACTGATTGACACAGTGTCCCTCCCTCCCCTCCTGGGTCTTACCCAGAGATAGGACATTTGTGAAGTAGCTTTGTCATAAACCCTGCTGCAACCACTGAAAACTTGAAAACAACATATATCTAGTTCAGGAATCTGTCCACTGAGAGGGCCTTGATAACATACCTTTTTGTGAGAATCCTCAATTACATGATTGCCTCCAGGCTGAATATCTAGAATAATATTAGGGGCCTGATAGCCTGAAAGAGTTAACATGTAGAACAATTAGAAGATTGTACGGGATCTTTTTTGGGATCTTAGATCGAGACTCATTTCTCCCCATTTCTTTGAGTACTCAGTTCAAATAATAGTAAAGGAATAAAAAGCAAAAACCAAAGATGGGAGGGGACAAGCAGCAGAAGACAAACTTCTGACACAGGGAAAGCAGGAAGAGGCCATATGGAACAGACTATATGGTGCCACATGGAGAAGGTTGAAACCCAGGAGATCAACCCACCCTGTGGAATCTGAGAGTCTTATGCCCTGAGAACACCAACTACAGCAATGGATGGGAGGGACAAATGGAGATGAATACAGGGAGACTGACTTGGCATGTAGTTTCAAGGCAAAGAGAGAATCTTATCTCATAAAGCTGAAACAGCTATCTAGAGGAAATTCAAGCAGCTAAACAGTTAGGGCACTGATGGCCCGAAACAAAAATCTCAGAATCTGTCTTTTAGAGATTCCCAAGAATAATGGCTCAATAAATATTGTTAAATACATAATTGTATGGCAGTACATCTCCAAGTTATATTTGATTCTTAAATTTCCTTTTTTCTTTGTGTCCTGCCTATTTTAAAAAAGAGGGGAGGCAGTGTATGTATAGTTATGTAGTTACATACACTTTAAGCTGGGAGTCAACATAGGAAAGTAATTGTTTGCCCTAAATCCTGGGCAGATGATTTGGCTGCAGCCTGAATTATATTCCTCTGAGTCACTGTGCTGTGGGTAGTAGTCTGACCATGATCCCTGCTTCTAGGGGGTCTCCTACCTTCACCTGTGTCCTTAGCATGCTCTGAGATGGCTTCCTTGAGTTTCTCAGTATAGCTTACAATTCCTTTCAGAGGTACACGTTCATCGTTTTCATACGCCGTTATGTGAACTGAAGGATAATGCTGAAATAAAATACACGCAAAAAGAGTTTACATTATTTCTTATGGTCCCTTTTCCACTATAGAGACCATGAAAAATAATTACCTCCAATTTTTCCCTCTAAGTGCTCTATGCTTTTTCTCACTTGCTATCTTGAGAGCGCCTCAGTATTACAGTAGTAGATCACTTGTTATCTGGAATAGCCTTTTCTTGACTAAAGGACCTTAGTTAATTTAGTAATTAAGGCATGATGATAAGTCTATTGCCCTGAGGTATTAAAAATGGAGCATGAGCAGAGATGGTGCTGAAGATATCTGGGCATCAAAAGTAGAAACATCTCTAAAGCTCCTATTTTTGCTTCAGCTGGGATAAGTTATTTTTTTTTATTATCTTCTATGTAAATTCAGGATAGTCTAACACAATTGTCTTTTACTACCTGAGGTTTAATATTTTGATAGGGACAGTAACGTTTTATGTAGTTCTTGTGTTTTTCATCAGATGAAGGATTCCCCCATTCTTCTAATTCTTCTAATGTCAGAGGAAGTGTAGTGTCCATCATGGTGTTGAGAACATCCAAGAAAGGTGCCTAAAAAAAAGGCAAAGAAACTTACACTTCAAGTAAGAGGTTGGTAAGTGAGTCTCAGAAAAACATTATATTTTAGGAATATACACACTGATATGAGAGAAAATAAGAAGCCATGTAGATTCCCAGGAGCTAGAATACTTAGTCCTTAACCAGGGCCTGTAATTTATGACCTACTTTTAAAGTCTTCAGACTCCTTAAATCATACCTATATAACAAGAAATGGTTTATCTTCTAATTTCACAATATTTATTTTTAGCTTAGTACCTTTTATTCACTTATATAAAAGCAATACATGGTACTGTCTCATACCAATTAGGATGATTAGTCATTAAAAAAAAAAAAGTATTGGCAATAATGTGGAGAAACCTGATACATTGGTGGTTGGAATGTAAAATGGGGCAGCTGCTATGGAAAACAGTATGGTGGTTCATCAAAAAGTTAAGCTTAAGATTACCATATGATCCAGCAATTCCACTCCTGGCATATAATCCCCAAAACTGAAAGCAGGGTCTTGAAGAGATCTCTATACCTATGTTCATAGCAGCATATTCACAACAGCCAAAAGGTGGAAGCAACTGAAGTGTCTATTAACCGAAGAATGAATAAGCAAAATGTGGTATACACACACAGTATTACATGGAATATTATTCAGCCTTAAAAAGGAATAAAATTCTGATACATGCTACAATATAGATGAACCTCAAGGATATAATCTAAGTGAAATAAACCAGTCACAAAAAGGTATATTTTGTATGATTCCACCTATGTGAGGTGCCTGAGTAGTCAAATTCACAGAGACAAGAGGTTGTGGGAAGAAGCAAATGGAGAGCTGTTTAATCGGTACAGGGTTTCAGTTTTGTAAGATGAAAAACGAGTTCTGGAGATTGACTGCATAAGCATATGAATGCACTTACCACTACTGAACTATTCACTTAAAAATGGTTGAGATGGTAAATTTTATGTTATTTTACCATAATTAAAAACTTTTAAATGAAAAAAAAACACACAACAAGGAATAAAGTCTTTTTCACCAGTTGGACATTTTATATTAAAAGTAAAAAACGCCAAGTAAAAAAACTCTGGAAAATATCCAGGTGAAAGAAAAAACAACCCATTGGCTTATAATTAGTGTTACAAAATTTAATAAAATGAAGGCTGGGTCGTGCATGGTGGCTCATGCCTGTAATCCCAGCACGTTGGGAGGCTGAGGTGAGCAAATCACTTGAGCCCAGGAGTTTGAAACTAGCCTGGCAACATGGTAAAACCCCATCTCTACAACAACAAACCACAAAAATTAGCAGGGCATGGTGGCACATGCCTGTAGTCCCAGACACTCAGGAGGCTGAGGTGGGAGGATCACCTGAGCCCCAGAGGTCAAGGCTATAGTGAGCTGTGTCTGTGCGCCACTGCATTCCGGCCTGGGTGAAAGAGTAAAACTCTGACTCAAAAAAAAAAAACCAAAAAAAAAACAAAACAAAACCCACAAAAACAACAAAAATGAAGGCTGTATTTTTCACTTAGCTTTGTTTTCTTCTGTTAACATGCTTTTAGCTTTCCCTCATATTAACATTAACCAAGTATAGTGAGTCATCTGTAATTCTTTTTGGCTGCCTACCACCTGAATTTTACATTTGAAAAACCTCCGACCTTGTCAGCTACAGCCTACCTCTCACTGTAGAGATATTAAGTGCTAGACAGCCTCTTTCCCATTTTTCCCTGCAGCTTGGGAGTAGCTGTGTGACCCATGTGTGACTTGGGTCTATCAACCAGACACATGTGCTCTACACTCTGCACGGGAAGTCAGTGATTCAAAGAAGCAGTGATCACAGACAATTTATTCTGGCAAAAGTGCCACAGCTATATCCAGCTCTAGAAGTTGCACTGGTAGTGTGAGGTGATTTGTGCTTGGCAGAGGTGGCAGTGATAGTTTCATTGGGCCAATTCTATGCCTCTGGCTGTGTAGCCTCTAATACTGGTCTGAACATACCTACATTTCCCTAATGCCCTTTAATCCCTTTTCTGCTTAAATTAGTCAGGGTTGATTTTTGGTGCTTATAATTAAGAATTTTGACTTATACATGTATAAAAGGTTGTCTCCTGTTCTTTACTATAATAAGCAACCTAGGATAAATATCCTTCTCATTATTTCCCTTTAAATTTCTGAAAGTCAAAAGCTAGTTGCTTTTTCTTTAAACTATAAATAATTCTGTCATTATTATATTTGTGCACAGGTTTCTTTTTTCTCCACATTTTTCTGTTTTTAAAAAATAGACTTACAGATGACTACTACTATTTAACACTTATTTACAAGCCCACAGTATAAACTTCCCAAACTCAAAATAAAAAATCCTGAAAATAATTTACTCTCTCCCATCTCAGTCACGGGAGTATCTAACCAGGAAGTAGGAGATATTTTTCAGAGTATCTAACCAGGAAGTAGGAGAATGATAGCAGTGAAACCAACTGCTACAATGTTACTTCATAATTTTTGACACTGGGAAAAGATAATCATTTTCAGAACAGGGTAAGATATTTCAATAAAAATACAGAAAAACTATGCTCAAATGACCATTAAGAATGGACTATCTAAAAATAAAGAGCCTATAAATCTAGGACTGAAATGTTGATGGGCAGTAGCCTGTCAAGGTGACCAGGAGCCAAAGGACTCAGTGCCTTCCAGAGTCACAGCATGCTCTGTCTGGCTTTCTCAACTGGGACTCATATATGCTTCAGTGCTTTTTCACCAATTCTAAAGGTGCTTACAAATACAAATGAGCAATGGAAATAGTCATTAATATCTTTCAGTGGAAATCCTTAAAAATAATAAAGAACACTGTCAGAGAAGAATAAGGGTTAATAGTTGGATTAAAATAACTTCAGAAGTTCTCCTCAAGCTATAATTCTGAGTTTAAAACTTAAAAGCTTTATTATACTCCTATGCTATGGTAAAACTGTAACTGAAATGTTTTTCTTTCCTTTTTTTGACACAGAGTCTTATTCTGTTGCCCAGGCTTGAGTACAGTGGTTCATTGCAGCCTCAACCTCTCAAGCGATCCTCTTACCTCAGCCTCCTAAGTAGCCTCCCACATACTACACGTATGCGCCGCCACCAAGCC